TAGTAATACAACCGCCAGTGTATACATTCAGCTTCAGAGATCCTTTACAACACGGGTTAACAACTGTGGTAGAGGATCCGGCTGTTGTTACCCCCCTTCCTGTCTTCCAAGTCTGTCGCCCGCTATGCAACTCGCAATTGCGAGTTGCATAGCGGACGACAAACTGGAGAGGCAGGAAGGGGGTAACTGCAGCAGGATTGTTTCATTCCTAGGCGTTGATTTTCGTAAAGGCTGAACCGTATGTAAGCGATTAAACGAGCGACGAGCGGCGGAAATTTCCCGCAATCGCGTCGCTCGGTTTTTGAATTTCTAGAAATCGACACTGATCGCCTTGGTCGCTTGCTCCCGTCGCTTTCATGCGGTTTGCCGCGTCGCATGAGTGACCGAACGAAAGCGAAGCGGAGCGTCGTCACTCGTCAAATCGCTTAGATGTGGTTTATTCTTAATTGCCGCGACACTGGCACCACATGTACGATTGGCCACACGCTTCCATATTCTCTCTCATACTGTTTATGATAGTGCATGTTTTTTATTCGTGGCATTAGTGACATACCCTTTTAGAACAGACGGGTGCGAATAAATCTGCCATGGTTCTAATTACTGATGTTTATTCTTATTTCAGATGCCTTGGGGTACTACGTTAGCTACCACCGGAACCCCGACACTCCAGAAGATGTGGAGAATCTCGCCAACCGCCTGGGACACATGAATAATATCATGACAATTTTCTTGCATTGTACACATGTTTTATGCTTATTTTTGTGGCCTGCAGTATGTATTTATCTTTGGTGAAATAAATTGAATTTTATTAATTTAACACGTGTGTTGTCAATATGGCCAGTTAAATTGGTTTAACTGCATGGTGAATTTATATTGTCTAGCCAAGCTTGGCTGACCACCCGGCCACTAACCTGGCCCATGCTGTATATACAATAAAGAGCCAGGCTTGGGGTACCACTGGGCTTCCCGCCTTGCCCATGCTATAATTCCAGCGGTAAGCCAGTCCATGGCTACACAGAGAACTGCCGGTGGTCGCCAGACTGGCATACCAGGATGGGGCGGCCTAGCGCCATGGTGCAAAACAATCTAGGCCCAGTAAAACTTCCCCGGCTACCCAGCCTGGCTCAAGCTTGAGCCGGTCGTAATGTGCTGCTTGGGATGATTTGTCCTCAGCAGAAATTAGCAAAATAATTCCCCTCTTCTTTAACTGCTCGATATTTTAAAAGGGAAACCAGAGATCTTTTCTTGGGAAGTCAGAGTCTGTATTCATTCGCCTTGCGAAAAAAAAATGTCACCCAGTGGTTTTATTTTTTGGCCATGGATAACCTTCCCTATCGAAGTTTATTGAAGAAATACAATCTGACGGATCTTTACCGGCTAGTCATTGTTTTTATTTTTTCGAGTTTGTCTGAAAACACAGAATCATACTTTAACCAGAAGGCACACTTTGTCATCACTAATATACTCAATGAATTCATGGTGCTGACTACGGTTTCAATACTTCATCAAATCATTTCTTTAGACAAGCATACAAAAGAAACCACTGGTGGCCTAGCACGGTGTTCACCAAGTAAAGAATCTAATCTCGAAGACTGCATAAACGTTATGGCGTTCTGGAATTCGAAATACACTATGTGCAATTATTAAGGCCAAAACCTTATATGTTTCATCGTTCGGTCCTTGAGAAAAAACACGTCGACAATACAAAATGTACCAAAACTTTTATTTGACATCTGAAAATATTAATATTCCTCCGAAAAAGACTTTTAGCCCACGTCCCTCGGCTGGCGTCGAACCAGCAACCTTTCATTCAGCAGTTCAACGCAGCACCGCCACAAGCGGAGGGGTACCGCCACATCCGTAATTCATGTGTCTGTCTTTAATGCATCGGTGCTTGGGCTTTCCCCTTCAAGTCGTCTTGGGGATAACATAAGAGACACTGCGGTTTTTCCGGAGCTAAATGCAGTTTCACACAGCTTACCATGGTTATTGGTGGCGGATGAAGTTCAGGAAGTTGTGGCCTCTTGTCCTGCTGTGGCTGCACGAGTGTGCAGTGGCTGCACGAGTGGATCTGTTGTGGCTCCAGGCAGGTGTCTGAAACAAATCCACTGTGCTCAGAGCTTCTTCCTGACCTGGAGCTTGATGAGCTTGCTCATCTTGCGGACCCCAAAGATATGGCGGACGTGATACCCATCTGCCGCGGAGTATTCCCTCTTTGGGCCCTTTTCTCGATTCAGAAAGACGGGCTGCATGAAACAAACATGAATAATTATCCCATTAGAAATAGCAAAGTTGAAGAAGTGTGAACACCCTTTTCAATGAAGCATGTAAAATTCTATCTGAAACAGAACAAACATACAACAGCTGATTTCCTACTAGTATCGTGAACACCTGAGTTACCCGAAAAATGACGGGCCAGCAATTGGCCACTCGCAGAATATAAAGACTAGTCTCATGGGGGAATGCGGTGAACCTCCCAAAGTTCGTGCTTGAAGGGTATAAAAATTTTCAAAACTTGCTGAGGTTCGAATTTGCGAAGTTTGTAATTTATTAACTCTGCCAGGGTTTGAAACAAAAAGATTGAGGTACCCCTAAGCACGTCTTGTAAGTTGTGAATGCGAAAGCATGCAAGCCACTCGTCCGCTCCTTTTTCGTCACCGGTCAGCGCGTGTGCTCCCCTGGTGACGTTGGACGCTCCGTGCCCAGGGGAGCAACGGCGCGCTAATGGACACGCAGCACCATGGGGTGAGTGGTCTTGGAAACTGACGACCGTAGCGGCCAATGGGAGCCCCGTCGAAGCGCGCCAGCCTGTGGAACTGAAGGAAACTATCTGCTGCTTTTGCGCTTCAAACTGATGACGCCAGCTCGCTCCATGAGACAGTTAGTGCTTTTGCATTAAAAAGTTTGCTGCTTTCGAACACTGCCTTCACGGCACCTCTACTACTATGGCACCGAAGGCGGCAATAGGAAACTGCCGTATGCATCCTCCGGTGTCACTGTTTTACCACATGCATGTTAGTGCCATAAAGGAGGTGACTGGATAGCTTCTTCGACAAACTTGCTCCAATACGTATTTAATTAAGACTTGCCCTAATGGTATAGAATTTTTATGTACCATTAGGTCAACAGGGGAATAGGAGACCTCACTCCTCCCCGGGAGTCTTAAAAGAGGCTACCATTCAGAACCGAACAATACTGACTGTTGCCACATTTCTCTTACATCGCAAACTTGGTATATGATATACCATAGAATACCGTGCACCCGTCCATACCACATTAAACGTCCATGCCCAAATTTGTAAGATCTGAGAAAATATGCACAGTACATTTATATGTAGAATTGATGACCGGAGAAGCGCTCATCCCCTATTTTTTATGATTATCTCAAAATTCTGAGTAGGCGCTTGCCCGGCATGTTACGGTATGCGTCATTGCATACGAACAGAAAAGCAGACTGCCCACACAAGTAGGCAGTCCGTACACTGTACATGTACTCATGATCGAGGGCGAGTTAAGAACAAATTTTGATGGTTGGAATTTTCTGCGGGCGACTAGCGCAGGCGGAGCTCACCTCTTGTTAATTTTGTTTCACCGACAGAAACTTGAGGGAATTAAATGACACTCCAATGTGGCTCATGGACGGAACATTTAAGACTGTGGTGCTGCCCCTCAGACAGTTATACACAATTCACGGTAATCTTAATGGCCATGTGTTTCGTTTTGTTTACTGCCTCGTAACTCGACAAACGCAGATCGTGTGCGAGGCGTTCTTCGAAGAAGTATTGAACTTTGCTGCAGATCTTGGACTTGCACTAGATGTGAAAACAATGACTACAGATTTCGAATTGGCAGCAATCAAACTATTCAGTCGTTGCTCCCTTTGTCAGATGTGCACAGTTCCTGTTACCCTTGTGCCAATGAGTATGGAGGAGTGCAGCACCTAGAACTGGTAGTGCTTTACAAACATTATGTAGATGGCTTCGCCATCAAGGTGACTCAGCGTGCAGCCTTTTCGTTCTTGCCGGCCAAATAAGTATGAGATGCCTATGCGTTATTGAAACCACTCTTCCCGCAAGAAGCTTCCGATCTGCTGTGATGGTGGGAGGACAGCTACCACTTTGGAAAATCACGCCGCCGTGTTGGCGGTGCCCTGATTAGGAGTAATCTGTGGCACTGTCCCAGATTTTCTTTTTATCGTTCGCAGATATGTTATGTTATAAATCGAGACACAACGCGTTCCCGCGTTTCGGCATTTTGACATTTTGTAATTGCATTCCTATATCAGGCGTACCCCAGTTGGGGTACGCCTGACATAGAATATTTTCAGCATTGCGACAATTCGGAATTCGTGGCATTTGAAATACTTCCTGTAAAAGGAGCTTACACTCTAGCACATACTTGCATCCACTTTCTTGTGTGGAACTCAATCCTTATAAATAGGCCCATCGATGCGCCACAAGACACAACACTTCAAAACAAAAATAGTATATATTTAGACTGCAGACACCATAAAATACAAGTGGACCCCACCCAATTCTACTGGATTTCGGATAAAACGGGCAATTTACAAGCGGGTTGATGAGGACGACGTCAGCCATCTGCCACACGTTTTTTTTTTTTTTTGCCTCCTCTCCATTCGCCAGCAGGCGGTTCAGCAGTCGTGTGCGGCCCTTGGCTTCCTGGTCTACCCAGCACCTTGGCAGCAACCTGAACACCAAAATGATGCAAAATACACACAAAAAGAAACAAAGAAAAGCAAGCATTAGACACACAATACGGAACTGAGCAGTCGACAGAGTGCTCAGTGTAAGCAGGCCGCCAGTCGGGTGATGAATGATGTTTATTGTTCCGAAGTGCGCCTTTATCAAGGCGAGGAACGGTGTGACGTAGGACGTCCCACGGTACATGATTGGATAACCTTTTTCACTAGCATGACACAGCTTGTGCCCTGCTACATCTCCCCTCTTTAAAAAGGAATGGGAAAAGGGGAAGGGGCTTTGTTACAGTCTCTCGGGCAGTGGGTACCGGCAGGGTTCCCGGCGTTCTCGGGTACTTCTGCCTAGCTCTTGACTGAGCTCGTTGATGTCCTGGTCTGTCGGTCGGTCTTCGGTGGAAGGTCGACTTGAGTCCGGCTGGGATGCTGCCTCCCTTAGGTGCTCTCTTGTGCGTCGAATCTCGCGGCCGTCTTCAGTCTGAAGAATCGCTGAACGCGGGGTGTCCGCTGGTCTCAGGATGACGGCTGGCGACCAGGTTCGCTGTCGTGTGTCGTACGTCGTGACCTTTTGCCCCGGTGACAATGGCGGCAGGTTTCGGGAGTTGCGGTTGTAGAAGGTCATCTGCCGCTTCCGGATCTCCTTGAGGCGGTTGTGGAAGGCGTTGCTTGGCACAGTCTCCGGCTCCAGGTGGCTTGTTGGTACCGGCAGCAGCGTCCGCGTCTGTCGTCCCATCAGCCTGTGCACAGGAGACTTGAGGACAGCATCTCTGGGAGTATTTCGCTAATCAAGTAAAGCCATTTGGAAGTCTGGGATCCTGAACGAGCACTTTTTTAAAAGTTTCTTGGCCTCTTGAACTGCTCTTTCACTCATACCATTAGAGCGTGGATGGTAGGGGCTAGAGGTAGTGTGCATAACGCTTAGATGGGATGGAAAGTCTTTGAACTTCTTGCTGTTGAATGGTGGGCCGTTGTTACTACACAGCTTCAGTGGTAGCCCATGAACTGAAAAAACTTCAGCACACCACGATTTAACCATGCTCGCGGTTGTGTTGCGGAGCTCCCAAACCTAAAAAAAGAACGAATAGAAGTCTACAATTATTGAAAAATCGCGTCCGCCGTATGAGAACAAGTCCATTCCCACGATCTCCCAAGGCAATGTCGGGACCTCGTGGCTCAGAAGAGGCATCTTTACGTTTCGTGGCTGATGCATCTGGCACACTTTGCAGGCCTTACAAAACTGCTCTATATCATTAGACATGTTCGGCCAAAACATCACACTTCTTTCTCGCGCTTTCATCTTCTCCGCCCCCGCGTGTGCCATGTGCAGGAGGTACATCATTTATACTCTTTTTGATTTTGGTATCATTACCTTATTGCTGCGAAACAGAAGGCCGTCTTGTTTGTGTATCTCCTCGAGGTTCGCCCAGTAGGGACGGACGATTTCTGGGACGTCTTGCTTGTTATCAGGCCAGCTTGTCTCGGCGTAGTCACGCAGGTTTGAGAGTTCGGGGTCCTCATTGGTTGCTCCAAGAACGTCCTTAAGGCGAGTTTCTGATGCTGAAACGTAAGCAAGTACGTTCACATGAAACTGGGTGGTTTCTTCTTGCATGCTTACTTTACTGGGGGAGCGTGACAAAGCATCGGCAAGAAATAGTTCTTTGCTCGGCTTGTGTAGAAGACGGATGGGATAACGTTGCAAAGTCAATCGCATACGTTGCAAACAAAGTGGAACTTGGTGCAGTGGTTTTTGAAAGATCGGCACCAAGGGACGGTGATCTGTTTCGATAATTACTTCCGCCTGGCCGAAAATGTAATCATGAAATTTGGTACAGCCGTGCACAATTGCCAGTGTTTCTTTTTCAATTTGTGCGTATCGCTGTTGCGTTTCAGTAAGGGATCTCGATGAAAAAGCGATAGGATGGCCTTCCTGAGTAATGGCGGCCCCCACTCCGTATTGGCTGGCATCAACAGAAAGAGTGACTGTTTTTTTTTTGGATCAAAGTACGACAGAACCGGTGCTTCGATCAATGCTCGTCTTAGCACGTCAAAACTGTTTTGCGGCTGTTCGGTCCACACCTAGGCAACATCCTGCCCAGTAGAGCTCTCAGCGGCGCAGTCACGTCGGACATGCGAGGTACAAAACGCTGCACAAAGTTCATTGTGCCAAGAAACACTTGCAACTCTTTACTGTTTGAGGGTGGCAGCATCGCCAGGATGTCGTTTGCGCGGTCCGGGTCCACGCGCAGGCCTTGCGTGGTCAGGATGTGACCTAGGTAGCGGACTTCTGTCAGCAAAAAAGTACATTTCTTGAGATTCAGTCGCAGATTGTAATCTCGGCAGCGCAACAGCCGCAGTGTCAAGTGATGGCCGTGCTTTACTTTTGTTCTGCCACAGAGTAGAATATCGTCCATCACTACGGCGACACAGGGTAGCCCTTCTAGTAGGCGGTGCATTGCTCCTTGAAAAATTTCTGGCGCGGAGGCGATCCCAAAGGGCATCCGGAGGAAGCGATATCGCCCGTAAGGTGTGCTCATCGTGCAAAGTTTGGAACTTGACTCTGCAAGTTTGATTAGCCAAAATCCTGACGCCGCATCAAGGGTCAAAAAGAATTTCGCTCCAGACTGTAGCGGCGCGACGTCCTCTAGGGTTGGCATTGGGTAGTTTTCTCGCAAAAGTGCTTTGTTGAGTGCAGTAGGGTCCAAAGAAATACACAGTTTGTCATTTTGGATGACGGTGACCATGTGGCTAGACCATGCAGTAGGCTCTTTGACCTTGGTTATGACGCCGTGCTCTTCCATGCGCTGAAGTTCCGCCTTGACCTTGTCTTGAAGGGCAACCGTAACTTTCCTGGCCGGCACCACGACTCCAACTGTTCCAGGTTTCAGCTTCATTTCATACTCGACATCTTTCAATTGCTCAAGGCCTTTGAAAACTTCTGCAAATGGTTGTGCGGCTTGGTACAAGTTCTCTAGATGAACATTCTGCACCCGGTATAGAAGTCCCAGGCGCTCGGCAAAGGATCCGCTCAAGGTGATCGGCACATGTTGTTCTACGACAAAGAAGAGTTCTTCGTGTGCTCTGCCATTTGCGGAAAGAATCAATTTTACTTTCTCGTGAGCAGTCGTCTTGTTTTCGAAAAACGCAGTTAGCGTCACTTGACACTCTTGCCGAGGCTTATCTGAAAGCTTTACGACGTCTTGCATTGATATGACGCCGCAGTTAGCGCCTGTATCTAGCTTGCACGCCATTGGTTTGCCTGCCCTCAATGTGACTTGACGCGCTCCACTTGTCGGTCGCCGACCCGATTTACCGTTAATGCTTCGAGAAAACATTCCTGGTCACTTTCGGTGTGCAGAGCGCGTAGTTCTTTCTTCGGTTTATTCGCGCTTTGTTGAAGTACAGGCGTCTTGCACACTTGAGCAAAGTGATTAAGCCTTCCACATTTCTTGCACGTTTTTCCTTTTGCTGGGCAGGTTTCGCCGCGGTGAGCAAAATAGCCGCACCTAGAGCAGGGTCTCTTTTTCGCAGCAACAGCATTATTAGTTGTCTCAGGTGCGCCTTGCTCTGTTCCAGTAATCTCCCGGAACTTTTCCTGCCCTTGTTCCTAAAGGCGACACAACTCAACGGTCTTTTCGTAGTTAGCGTTTTCAACAAGTAATTTCCGCTGCAGGCTCTTGTCTCGAACTCCTAGGATGATACGGCTTCGTAGCATCCGATCTTCTAGCTCTCCAAATTAGCAATTCTTAGCTAGAATCCTTAGCTCTGTTAACCATTCGTTGAAAGGTTCACCTTCTTTTTGGTCTCTTGACCCGAATCTGAATTGCTGGGAAGTCAGGTTTGTAGCGGGCTTGTAGTATTCTTCGAACTTTTGAATCAGTACTTCTACACTGTTTCTTTCTTCATCTGTAATGATCTTAAAGGTGTTATACGCCTTTCTGGCTTCGTCTCCGATTGTTATAGTAAGGTTGCTGCCGGCGCTTCCTCCGGCTGCTTGCTCAATTGCGTAGCGGTTGAGCACGTTTCCAATTTTTTCATCCGAGCCATGCGTCGCCTGATGTGTTTAGGGGCTTCGGTGGCGGCAGCAGCGTTGACGGCAATGGGGGCATCGGCGGCGTTGACGGTTTTGACATCTTGACTGGGCACCGCTGCCACCATGTAAGCGGGCCGCCAGCCAGGTGATGAATGATGTTTTTTGTTCCGAAGTGCGCCTTTATCAAGGCGCACTTCGGAACTGTGTGACGTAGGACGTCACACCCTGTCCTACGGTGTGACGTAGGACGTCCCACGGTACATGATTGGATGAGCTCTTTCACTAGCATGACACAGCTTGTACCCTGCTACACACAGTTCTCTTACTCGGTTACTCGGCAAGAGTAACCCAAGCTTACTAAACCCATGCTGCTACCAAGAAACGTTTGGAACTGAAGCGCCTAGACATTGTCAGCGAACATGAGCGCATGCATTTTAAGGAAAACACTCAGGCCCAATACAGCTGTGAACAATGAAGATCCATGTCGCGCTAGAGCACACGAATCTCTCAAGAGCACAGTGCCTCAGCCAGATGAGTATCTGGAGGGCAGTCTGAAAATCTCAGGCTAGCAGCGGTTGCTCTCAAGACCTGCTCCACTCGTGCCATCCATGGACCTTTCGCTTTACTGCTCGAACACCAACAGGCTGAGACAGATGTCGGGTGCAGCAGGGGTCGGCCTTTCTCCACATGCGCAGAGGTCGGCCTTGGTGGATGCGCACTCTCTGCTCCACGCTGTGCAGCCAAGAAAGCAGCCAAGAAAGTAGCCGAGACCTCGAAGGGTGATGTTGGGTCCTGGAAATACTTTGCACTGTCAATATAAGCTAAGCAGTCTAGATCAGGGCTCAGTACCCCTTTGAAGCAGCTGGCCGAGGAGACGCGAAGTGAATGTGGGGTTGGGCCGGACGGGAAACAGGTGTGTGTGTGTGTGTGTGTGTGCGGGGGGGGGGTATGCTGACACACGCTTAAAAGTATCTGCAATTATGAAGAAAAGGCTATTAAGCCTAAATGCTTTAGCACTGCGTTGATTTCTGAAACTTTGCCTACAGAACACTTGAGCCCCTTCTTAATACACATTTTATATTTCAATATCGCTCGCCAAGATGCAAGGATGTAAGTTTGATGTACTGATTAAAATTCACGCAGAGGTGTAGAACTCCTTATCCCTCTTTGTCATTTGCAAAAGCATGTGTGACTATAATAATAATAATAATAATGTTTATTTTCCACCACAAGATGGTGGCTATCAGGGAAAAAAGCTGTCAGGTACAGCTTGACGGGTCCCTGACCGCCTACAGAAAGCAGCAACAGAGTCGGAAAAAAACTATATTCAAGAGGAGAAAAAAAATGTACAATGATTGTCGCTATCACACATTTTAAAACAAATTTTAAATTTTTTCCCCTTTTTTTACATTGAGGCAGGACAGACAGCAGAGATAAAATTATGCAAAAACTAGTCACAAAGATTACAAACAATGAAAGGCAACTACCTTCAGCTGCTAGAGAAAAAAGATGATTTTACTTCTCTTACGGATAGCTTATCCCAATCTATACCTTTAGTCTTGTACGAATTGAGTAGATTAGGAAGAGTGCATTTAAGCATCTGTTTGCCGTAGTTTGTTCTTGGTGTAGCCACCTCCCAACATTCAGCACCTCGGGTAGGGTAATTATGAACATTTTTTGATAAATTTCCAAGATCTGTTAAAAAGGTTGTGTCTTTAAATTGCTCTACTTTAAGGCTAGTGCTAAGCCTATATTCATATAATGTATGCGCGTTTACGACGCGAAATTTCTGAAATAAGCCAGCTGTGTGAAAGTCATACGAGACGGCAGCTATAGCCCTCAGTGCTTTTTTTTGCAATACATGTAACTTTTCTAGGTTTGTTAAAGGTGTTGTTCCCCAAACTAAATGGCAATAATTTATGTAAGAATAAAATAGAGAATTATATATTAATAATTTAACGCTTGTTGGTAAAATATAACGATGACGATTTAACATGCCCACAGTTTGGGATAGCTTTGGAATAAGAGAGTTTATATGAATTTCCCACGACATATTTTCAGAAAACGTGACACCTAAGAGTTTAAAACAATTCACAATCTCGATTTTGGTTGAATTCAAAACTATGTCCTTGGTAATGGTAACGAGTTTATTTTTAGGACGAAAAAACACGGTTTTGGTTTTATTTACATGTATTTGTAATGCGTTGTAATGACTCCACGTTTGTAACCTAGACAGGGCCAGATTCGCCATATCGAATAACAGATCAGGATCATCTGCAAAAAACAGTATGCTCGTGCCATCAGCATAGTTTACAAATTTTGCGCTTACATTAATATTGACTATATCATTCACGTACATGTTAAAACGTAAGGGTCCCAATATACTACTACCCTGTGGTAGGTTTTATAGTGGAAGAATTCCCATTGATATAAACACATTGCGCTCGATGTTCCAGATAAGATCTTATCAGCTGTAAAGCGTGCCCTCGAATTTCATAATTATCTAATTTCGATAGTAAAATTTTATGATTGAGGCAGTCAAACGCCTTGGTGAAATCAATAAAGACTCCAAGAACCATATTTTTTTTCAAAGCTTTGTAAAATAAATTTTTTTTAAACAAGTAAGGCAGATTCTGTCGACTTGTGTATTGTAAATCCATACTGTGATGGAGTTATCAAGTTATACTTATTTGAAAATTTAGTCAAACGTGTATGACGAACCTTTTCGAGCGCCTTGGAAAACACTGGTAAAATTGAAATTGGCCTGTAGTTTCCCATTTCATTTACATTTCCTTTTTTATGCAATACTGAAACTTTGGCAATCTGCATTCTCTTAGGAAAAATTCCAGTAGATAAAGAGATATTAAAAGTCAAATTTGGGGGTTTTACATGCCAAATCTACGACGGGCATCTGGAACGCCCCAGCGGAGGACTGAGGATTAATATCGACCACCTGGGGATCTTTTGACGTGCAACCGAAAGCTCGGTTAAGGGGTGTCCAAACAGGACACTACAAAACCCGCGACTCCGACAAATCGTGAAAATTGAAGCGGACGCTTCTATTTTTACGGTCTGTCGGAGTCGTGAAAATGTTTGCAGGAGTCGTGAAAATTTTTACGATCACGACTGCTCTCCTCTTCAGATTGACGTCACACGCCACCTGCGTCTGTCTCACCTCGCCAACGCCCTCGCGTACCGCCGTCGCCTCGGCTCGAAGGCCAAGGAGGTCCGGCTTTGGGTGGATTTGGGACATTCCTGCGTCGAAGGGTGCGTTTCGCCCGCCTCGGATCTGCTTTCTTTGTCGAGATTCACTTTCGTCGTGATGGCGTCCGATGCGGTTCCGTATTGTGAGCGGAGGCCTTGAGCAATTGACCGACAGCCAACAGAGCGTGTTAGTGGCTCTCCGGACCCACGTGATGAGCAGAGCAAGGCCGCAGTGGAGGAAGCGAGGGGGAGATTTGACGGAGGGAAGTTTCCCCCCGGGAAGAATGACGGAGGGAAATTTCCCTCCGACGGCCGGAAGCGGATCGCGGCAGAGCGCGGCACGATTTGCCGGAGTCGCGGGTTTTGTAGTGTCCTGTTTGGACACCCCTTTACACGGCGCCTTCTCCGCAATAAGCCTCCGTCATATTGCGGGCACCTCGGTCGGGATTCGAACCCGCCTCCCGGGGATCCGTAGGCCCGCGCTCTTACCTCGGAGCCACCGAGGCGGCTGAGAGATATTAAATATATGAGTTATTACAGGTGCTAACAGATGAATAACATGTTTTACCGGTCTTATCTGGATGCCGTCGACGTCACAGCTAGAACTATTTTTAAGCTGAAGAAACAAGCTTATAATTTCTGGTTCGACGACGGGATCTAAAAATATCGAATCACTGTTTTGTTTATCATTTAAAACCAAAGGAGTTTCGGTTACAGTAGTAACCAGAATATTTACAAAATGTTCGTTAAAAGCATTTGCCAGTGAACACCCAGTAAGTTCAGTACCATTGCACAAAATTGTTTCAATTAAACTGAAGGGGTGATTACGATAAAGAAGATTATTTAGTTGCTTCCACATGATGTCACTGGGTCCTTGTGCGGCCTTGAACAAATCAAAATGATAACACGTTCTGGCGCGCTTTAGTTCTTTTGTCAGGTTGTTGCGATAGTTTTTAAATACTTTAAGGTCCTTCTGGTCCTTGGATTTTCTGAATTTACCATATAAAGCGTTTT